GAATGTTAGGGGGGACCCCATATACAAAAAAAAAAAAAACCAGTGTGCCGTTCCCTTGCAATTCATACCAGACCCTTTAGGTCTGTCAGGAATTTTAAGGTGGAACCCCAACGCCAAAAAGTTAAAAAAATAAAATGGGGTCCCCCCTAAAATCCCATAGCAGACCCTTAATCCGGGCAGCAGCCTGGCATGGCAAGAAAGGCCCCCCTTTCCACCATTCCAGGCCACATGACCTCGGCATTGGAAGGGTGCTTTTCCAGAAGGAACCCCTTACTCATACACAAGGGGGGGTGGCATCGGTGTGCTCCCTTTATGAAAGGGGGTGCCCAGATGCAGATGACCCCATTGGGTCAGGGTTGTGGGGAAGAGGCCCTCGTCCCCATCGGCATGGGGACAAGGTGCTTTTCCCCGGAAAAGCACCCTCCCAATGCCGAGGGCATGTGGCCTGGTATGTATTGAGTTTCAAACCTGAATCCCGAAAAATGAAATAATGAAACAACCCGAAACAAAAGGAAACTAAACTACACAAACTTGTTGCCGGAACACATGTCTGGAGATTGGAGTGATTCGTTTAGTTACATAATTAATAAAATTGGGAAAAAAATGTCCATCCAAATCAATTGAGAGACAAAAATAAATGCAAAACCTGCATCTTCAGAACTCTAACTTGCAGTTGACCAAGAGAAAGGCAAACAACTTATAAAACCTGGTTCAGCTTGCTGCAAAATGCCCTTTCTGCTCATGTAGGGAAATGAGATACACCCTGGATAAACAATCACCAAACAGAGCTATCAATGATACTGTAAATATTAATATAATTTCATACATTGTTTAACAGACACAGCCAAAGGCAGCCGAGGGAATAACCGAGCCGTAGTGAAGTGAGCCGAACAGCTGTACATCGGCTTCCTTCGGCCGCACTTCGGTCAGCTGAACATGCTCTGCATGCAGAAGGACTGCGACTCAGCCATTCCAACATCTGGATCAGCTGAGCCGAAGCTCCGACACCTCACTCGTTGCCGTTCGACCCTATTCACATAGGAGCCCAACGGCAGTGAATGAATAGCCGAATGCCTCCGAGCAGCATTCGGCTATTCTGCTCCGCACCTCCGTGGTACCGATCAGGATAGGAAATCATTGAAAAAAGTTTAAAAAAAGATTTAAAAAAATTTAAATAAATGTAAAATGTAAATAAAAAAATTAGGATTTTCTAAAAAATAAAAACATTTTAAACCCCAATTGGGCAAAGCTATCAGTAACAGCTAGCTCCGCCCAACTGTTTCCTATTGGCAGACACCTGCTAGAGTCTTCTAGCTGGTCCCGGTCAATGAATAACAACTGGGCGTCATAGCCAGCTCCGCCCAGTTGTCATTGTTTATTGACAGTTCAGCGTCCCCAGGTCATTTGGGGACGCTGATCTGTCTTTACAACTGGGGGGAGCCAGCCATGAGGTCACGGTTGGCTCTTCCAAGCTGTCATTCGCCCCACTTCGGCTGTCACTAGAATTATATAACATAACAGTTCTGTATAAATGTTTACAATAAATGAACACCCCTTGATGGCATTTCAAAAAGCTGTGCACAAAAATGAATGAAAACGTAAGGTGCCCACACACCTGCCGATTATCGTACGATAATTGTGGGTGATCCGGCGATCGTACGATAATCGGCAGGTGTATGGGCAGCGTGCGACCGCATCTACTGTACGGTCGCCTGACTTTCGTCTTCCTAGCACGCTGGAAAACCCGACGAAAATCGTAGGATTTTCAGCGGATTGGTAGCGTGCTCTGAAGACGAAAGCCACACGGGCCAGTGTGCGCAAGCACACACTGCCCGTTCAGCATTGCAATCATCTTGTTAAAAAAAAAAGCCACTGATGGATGACTCCACGGTTCCTGCGCTAACTATCCATTAGTTTGACTGCTAAATACAGAGGTGTCAAATTTGTTGGTACCCTTTCAGGAAAAATGAAGAACCCACAGTGTTCTCTGAAAAAAACTTGAAGTTGAGCAAAGTAATTGGCATCCATTATTGTTTGTGCCGTATTTAATACAAATCAGACTTTGCTTTTAATTCAATAGAATATTTTAAATCAAATGGCATGTGCAAAAATGACGGGACCCTTAACCTAATATTTTGTACAACTTTTAGAGACAATCACGCTGCCCACCTTTAGGCGATCCTTACAAACCCATCTCTTCAGGGAAGCCTACCTCATCTCAACATAACTACCTTTTACTTCCTCCAATAACTCAATCCAAACAATTATTACCTTTGGTATCACTTGCCCTCCTACTAGATTGTAAGCTCTCCCAACCCTATTGTTCTGAAACTGTATTGTACTGTAAATTGTATTTTAACTGTATTGTCTCCACTATTTTGTAAAGTGCTGAGCAAATTGTTGGCGCTATATCAATCCTGTATAATAATAATAATAATAATAATAATCACTGCAAACTAGTGATTTCTGTAGCTCTCAATGAGGCTTCTGCACCCACCAACGGGTAGATTGGCCCACTCTTCATGAATAAACTGCTCCAGCTGTCTCAACTATGAAGGCTTCCTTCTCCAGACTGCATGTTTCAGCTCCTTCCATGGATGTTCCACAGGATTCAGATCAGGGATCATAGAAGGCCACTTCAGGTTAGTTCAATGTTGTGTTCTTAGCCATTCTTGGGTTCTTGTAGTTGTGTGTTTTTGGTCATTATCCTGCTGGAGGACCCATAACCTCTTTAGAGAGAATTTTCTGACACTGGGCAGTAAGCTCCACTCCAGAATTCCTCGATAGGCTTGATATTTCATTGTTCCTGCAAAGATCCAAGGCTCCCCGTGCCAGACGCAGCATAGCATCAACAAAACATAATGAAAGGAGAATTATGAGGCGAGTGATTTTCACTCAGCCTCATAACCTGAGCCGACCTGTGACAATGAAACTGTCACAGGTCGGCTCAGTAGATCGGGAAGTGAGCGAACACATACCGTCGCTCGCTCACTTCTCGATCTATCCGTGCAATGAGCTATGACTGTCACTCACGGCTCACTGCAGGGATTCCCCTCCCCCTCCCCTGTCCTATCCTCCAGCGCTGACTGGCGGAACGGACAGGGGAGGGGCGGGTACAGCGGGTTCTGCCTTTAGATAGGCAGAGCCAGCTGTCACTCACGCAGCTGGGTGGATCCAGACAGCATTGTAGTGATCGGTTCCGGCTGCCTGGGTTGCTATGGCAAATCAGGGTGCTGGCTGTGAGGAGGAACGCGCCGCTGTTAGATCACCGACAACCTGTCAGTAATGTGTGCAGCGGTGCGTTCTTCCTCACATCCGCTGCCGAGCTGTGTCATTGACAGCCAGCAGCTGCTGCAGAAGAGACTGGACCCGGCATTTGCAGTAAAGGAGGAGGCAGGGCCCGGTCCGGCGACCTAAGAGCAGGAGGGGTCATTGATGTAAGAGGAGGCGGGGCCCGGCAATCATGGAGGCAGACCACGCTGACAGGTAAGAGGAGTGCAGCCTACCTGAGACCCTGCAGAGCCCGCCATAGAGAGTCTATGGTGGGCTCTGCAGGGTCATTCTCAGGTGGGCTGTTTGGTATACAAAAAGCAATAATTTATCTCTTTCCACACTTTCATTGCTTCACTCAGTGGAGCTAGAGGCATAGGTATAGGTGATATACTGTATGTATATGTGGTATACTATAGATGGTATATGTATATGTTGTTGAGGTATAGATGGTATAGATGTAAGTATACATAGTATAGGTATAGATGGTAAAGATATACATGGTATATATAGGTATAGATGGTATAGATTTACATGCTACAGGTGTAGGTATACATTGTATATATAGTTATAGATGGTATAGGTATACATTGTATATATAGTTATAGATGGTATAGGTATACATGGTATATATAGGTATAGATGGTATAGGTATACATGGTATATATAGGTATAGATGGTATAGGTATACATGTTATATACAGGTATAGATGGTATAGGTATACATGGTATATAGGTATAGGTATACATGGTATATATAGGTATAGATTATATAGGTATACATGGTATATATAAATATAGAAGATATAGGTATACATGGTATATTTAGGTATAGGTATAGATGGTATAGGTATACATGGTATATATAGTTATAGATGGTATAGGTATACATGGTATATATAGATACAGATGATATAGGTATACATATAGGTATAGATGATATAGGTATACATGGTATATATAGGTATAGATGATATAGGTATACATGGTATATATAGTTATAGATGGTATAGGTATACATGGTATATACAGGTATAGATGATATAGGTATACAGGGTACATATAGGTAAGATGGTATAAGTATAGATGATATAGGTATACAGGGTATATATACGGTAGGTAAAATGGTATAAGTATAGATGATATAGGTATACATGGTATATATAGGTAAGATGGTATAAGTATAGATGATATAGGTATACAGGGTGTATATAGGTAAGATTGTATAAGTATAGATGATATAGTTATACAGGGTGTATATAGGTAAGATGGTGTATATATGTATACAGGGTATATATAGGTAAGATGGTATAAGTATAGATGGTATAGGTATACATGGTATCTATAGCTAAGATGGTATAAGTATAGATGATATATGTATACAGGGTATATATAGGTAAGATGGTATAAGTATAGATGGTATAGGTATACAGGGTATATATAGGTAAGATGGTATAAGTATAGATGGTATAGGTATACAGGGTGTATATAGGTAAGATGCTATATCCATAGATGGTATAGGTTCAGGGTGTATATCGGTAAGATGGTATATATAGGTATAAATGAGACAATTGCTTTTCATACTATGACTCTTCAGTCATAGGGATGAAGCATTGTGATGAGCTGTGAAGTGCAAGCAGTCGCTTCACTGTCTTTATATAACGCCAGAAAATTGTTATATCATCCTCCTGAAATAGCGGCCTGCAGTACACTCAGTCTGCCACAAGATGGCGGTATGGGGAAGGAGGGAGCTGTCATAGGCGGAGCCGGGTCGGTGCAGCGGCCGGCGATGTGAGCGGCCTGTCCTGTGTGATCACCGGAGACAGCTGGGAGGGGGGTCAAAGCGGTTGGGTACCGGAGGAAGGCCGCTCCTGGCTGGAGAGGCCCCGGGGGTGACAGGCTGGACATGCCGAGGTAAGAGGGGAAGGAGATCCGCAGCACACAAGCCATAGAGCCGAGCACTGCAGAGAAGTGCTGGATCATATGAAGATTATTATTATTATGGTGATTTGTATGTTTGCTCTGTCAGCTGGTTTGATGTCTGCATGGAGCTTGGTGTGACAACATGTCTGCATGGAGCTTGGTGTGACAACATGTCTGCATGGAGCTTGGTGTGACAACATGTCTGCATGGAGCTTGGTGTGACAACATGTCTGCATGGAGCTTGGTGTGACAACATGTCTGCATGGAGCTTGGTGTGGCAACATGTCTGCATGGAGTTTGGTGTGGCAACATGTCTGCATGGAGCTTGGTGTGGCAACATGTCTGCATGGAGTTTGGTGTGGCAACATGTCTGCATGGAGCTTGGTGTGGCAACATGTCTGCATGGAGCTTGGTGTGGCAACATGTCTGCATGGAGCTTGGTGTGGCAACATGTCTGCATGGAGCTTGGTGTGGCAACATGTCTGCATGGAGCTTGGTGTGGCAACATGTCTGCATGGAGCTTGGTGTGGCAACATGTCTGCATGGAGCTTGGTGTGGCAACATGTCTGCATGGAGCTTGGTGTGGCAACATGTCTGCATGGAGCTTGGTGTGGCAACATGTCTGCAACGGGAGAGCGTTGATGCCAGCCCATCACCACGGGAGAGCGTTGATGCCAGCCCATCACCACGGGAGAGCGTTGATGCCAGCCCCTCACCACGGGAGAGCGTGGATGCCAGCCCCTCACCACGGGAGAGCGTGGATGCCAGCCCCTCACCACGGGAGAGCGTACTTGGTGTGGCAACATGTCTGCATGGAGCTTGGCTGTATGGGGTCACCGTGTCTGGCCGTATGGGGTCAGATATGGAAAGGTCCCTGGTCTATAGATAGCCAACAGAATTGCCCAGTGTGAGCTCAGATGAGGAATTGGGATAGATTCTCCCAGCCCATCACCACGTGAGATCGTTGATGCCAGCCCATCACCACGGGAGAGCGTTGATGCCAGCCCATCACCACGGGAGAGCGTTGATGCCAGCAGATCACCTCACCACGGGAGAGCGTTGATGCCAGCCCATCACCACGGGAGAGCGTTGATTCCAGCCCATCACCACGGGAGAGCGTTGATGCCAGCCCCTCACCACGGGAGAGCGTGGATGCCAGCCCCTCACCACGGGAGAGCGTGGATGCCAGCCCCTCACCACGGGAGAGCGTGGATGCCAGCCCCTCACCACGGGAGAGCGTGGATGCCAGCCCCTCACCACGGGAGAGCGTGGATGCCAGCCCCTCACCACGGGAGAGCGTGGATGCCAGCCCCTCACCACGGGAGAGCGTTGATGCCAGCCCCTCACCACGGGAGAGCGTTGATGCCAGCCCCTCACCACGGGAGAGCGTTGATGCCAGC